CGGTGAAACTCATTTTTTTATAATCTAATTACGACAAGCATGTTAAGATACAGCTTTTTGCAAAGTTTTGAAAAATTCTGTAGCTATGATTCAGAGCCATTGGTTAATTATGTATTTAAGGGGCATTATTATAATCTTAGCATATTTAAATTATTGTCGACAAGAATAATTTATACACCAGTGATAAGCTGTATTTTCGACTCGTCGAACGAGAAAAAACAAAATTATGACTGTGCGATAAGTGACTATTGAAAAATCCTACCTACCTTATGTCATTTTCACACAGTAGTTTTCCTTTTTACTTATTTTCTGTTTGTTTGCATTGCCTTCTATTTCTTAACGCCGGATATCCAAACATTCATACAGTAATAAATTAAATACTAGTTTTCGCTCTGTAACTAGTCTTTTTCAATTTTAGTCAAAACACTCTAAATTAAGTGAAGTTTAAGTTTTTGCGGAAAACGTCAAGTCCTGTTAAACTTTTCCCTCAGGCACGTGCCATCGATACATTCCTCTATTATATTTTACGCACCTAAAGTCATTAAGATTCACTCCTGTTGATCGACGCTCGTGAAATAAACGTGACAAAATAAAGCAGAATTTTAGAAATTTTTACAATTATCCTCTTAAAGAATATTTTAGTACCAGCAAAAAGGAAACGTTTCAACTTGAGAGAAGAATAGATCAAACATCATCCAGCAAGTGCCCGTATGGAATAATAGGCTGATGCCGAGTTATATTCACACAAAACGAGGGTGACCCTTTGTCAAGATAGTGCTTTGGACTTGCGTGTAACATGTCAAATATGGCGTGATTTCTTAACGTTGGTGGCGCCTCTTGCTTAATCCTCGCTATAAATTCCCGCGATATGGCCGTCATATTTTTGGAAGACCTATCATATTTTCGATGTTTGGGATTGGCAGCTGTGACAGGAGAAAACAGAAGTGCTTGGCCGCCAAACTTGACTTCGACAGCTATCATAGTGTCTCTGTTACTTGCAAAAATACAGCCACGTTCGTATTGCGTTGGATAGGGAAGGACATGTTCAACAGCTTTATGGTGGAAAGCGTTAAAGATGGCGTCGAAAAACACGGTAGGGAGAACGAGAGATGATTCATTTATACCACATAAATCTCTCCTTTTATTTATGAGAATGCTTGCGCCATGATGGACCTTGTAATCCAACACACCCAATGCTGGCTCGTAATCTAGCAGCCACTCTTCCACAGCTCGGAACGGCGACATCTTAGTCATGTTGGCGGGTGTAAACTCGTTGTACTTGAGAATGGTGTCGTCGTTTATAAATATGTAATAATGATATCCTGGTCGTCTATCCAATGCGGCAAAAAAGAGCACATTTCGTCCTGATGCAAAGAGGGTGTTGGGATCAAACAAATAACTGATGTGTGAATGATTGTTTTCTTGGCACTTAGCTCGGAAACTTAGCACAATCACATCACAGTTACAGGTCTCTGGATCGCCAATCTGAGAAGAAGAGGCCAAGTTTCGGTGAGGAAGGCATTGCTCGGTTTCTGTGAGATAAATGAAAGGCTTTCGAATTGTACTTCTTTGTGCTGTATAAGCGCGAGGCTTCGAGTTGTAGGCGAAATATTGAGGTGATGAATAAAAGTCAATCTTCTCTCTAAATCTGATCATGTCTTGTACGGTTTCTTTGGTATAAAGAATCATGCCAATGACTACAACTGAACTCAGCGCCAGTGCAATTATAAAAACGGTCTTTAACTTCATCTCTCTGTAGCGTTTAAAAAATCCTGTGACAAAGCTTAAGGAAAGTGTTTAACAAGAAGCCTTGGGGAAGTGTATGAGTGATTGATATATTGGTTAAAAAATAATAATAAAAAAGAAATAGTTCTTGAATGTCTATGATCACTTGGAAACAAAAATTAGAGTCGTCGTTTTTAGCACTTCATGCAACCCAGTTTGATGTAATGATAAAACCGATTCAAACGGTATGATTACAAATTAAATAATATATCGTTATTTTTGCGGTTGATTTTTATTATGAAAATTTAAGATCGAAAAGAACTCCAGATCGAAACCAAAAGTGGATATACGTTTTTCTAGCACTTGAGTCATGTCAGCATCTGTAACCCTATAAGTTGACATTACTGAATAGCCATTATTTTCATGTTGGAAGTTGAGCTTGAACATCGGCTAATCAGAGGACTCTAAAGTTTGTGATAAATCTCTCACTACAGGCCGTAGTCTGAAGGAGTAATTCTCCAAGTTTTGGCAATTTGGGCCTGGCTTAGGTTGAAATAATTGAATTCAGTAAGGAGTGGTTTTTGTTAAGAAGGATAGACATTAACAATTCTCTTCCACTTTGAAAGGTTTTGTGACAGTTGTGGCAAACAAAGACTAGACTTATGTTGTGATATCGAATAAGAGTAATAAAAGCCAGTTCCTGCTAAGCAACATTAGATATTCTGTAACCATTTAGTTTTCACTACTGTTCGACGGTCCGTGGGTCATTCGTCCATTCAATTTTCTTTTAAAATCAAAAATTGACATCAATTTTCAATTTTTGATTTTAAACGAAAATTGAATGGACGAATGACCCACGGACCTTCGACCATGCCTTCATGTTAAAATGTCTATAGCATGGATAAGATCGAAAGCTTTCTCGAAATCTCGGCATTTATAATACGCACTTAATAACAGGTTTCCAGGGAAAATTTAGTTTTCATTGTACTTTTTATAAAGCGGCATTTATTTGAATGTCGAAAAGTTATTGTCTTTGCATTAGTACTCTACGCGATTGGCTAAAAGAACTCTCGCCATTTTTTTTCATTTAATCAAAAGTAAAACCAAACCAATATACTTGCTTGCACACGTTTCCCGCTTTTCGCGGCAGCTATATGGATTTTGTTCGAGTTTTGATTGGTTCACTATATCGTCTGTGTTCTTTGGGTCTGGTAGCCGCTCTCGCAAGGTCTCACATGAGTCGCTTGATACTCAAACAACAGAAACAATGCCCCTATCCCCAGAACAATAACAGCTGCTACACTATGACGACAAATAGAATTACAAGCTCATGAGAGCTTCTGCTCTTCTGTGCCCTTTGTGATTGCATTGTTAGAGTAATTAGTTTGGTTCTGGTTTTACTACAATCAATTGACAACCGCTCTATTGCTGAAGTTTAGTTCAAATAATAAGTACCCAAAGAACAAAGATCAAGAACGTCTGAAAATATCTGGGGTCCACATTCAAATGCAACGGCAGAGAAGAAAACTAACTACAAGGAGGGTTACAAAAGATATGTTATGTAATGTAACGCTACGACACGTTGAACGTTTGTTACTTATGTTTGGGTCAGCCTTTTATTTTTGAAGTTTTGATTTTAGAACATAAAAAGAAATGAAAAGCAAGTATCAAATAAAGTAACCTCTGGTCAGCGAGAGAGCCGGCAACAATATAATTAATTGTTTCCCGCCGTGCTGCATTTAAATGTTGCCATGGCCACGTGACCATAGATCAACCAATGAAAACGCGCGTTAACTTCAATTAAGTTACAGTTCTATAACAATTCACGTCATGGAGCGCGGGTTAGATTCAATTAAGTTACAGCTCTATAACAATAAACGTTTTACAAGTAGTGGCTGGGGCAGCTTTTTGCCAACTATTTACGAAACTGAGTCGAAAAGAAACAAGGGTCACTAACGGTGCACTAAAATAGACCTACATATGAAGTGAAAATATTCTTACATATGATTCTATCATATGAGCTCATAAAACACGTTAAAAGAAATAGCTGTCTGCCATTTCGACATTGTTGACTACAGAGTTGACATATGCCCTTTCAATGTTAATAAGTGCGATGTTACTGACACGTTTTTGCCCCATGGTGCTGCGGAGGTAAGTTTTTAATCTGCGCAATGCACTGAATGATCGTTCTGCAGA